TGTGTGTGTGTGTGTGTGTGTGTGTGTGTGTGTGTGTGTGTGTGTGTGTGTGTGTGTGTCGATAATTTATACATATTATATATGCATATCTACTACTCAACAAAATTTAAGGATCACATGTTCCACCTGTAAAAACAAGCAAATTTTAAGATAGTACAACTTCGTCAAAAAGCATCATATCGAGATGGTTAAAAAAGCATTTTCAACAGCTTTCAATCTCTACTTTTCAGATCAGGACTTTAAAATACGGTCTTACTGATATTTTACGGAATTACATAAACATAAATGAAGATCAAATCTCAACATTTTTTACGAAATTTGCGAAGTTCCATGGCGCGAATTAAAAATTGTGTATAAATATGATTTACATAATTCGAAAGAGTGAACCTTTACCTTTAATTTGTTTTTTTATTGTACGGTTTTTTCATTATATTATTTAATATCGAAGCCAAAAAAGCCGTTTTTTATTCAATATTGAATTACTTGGTGAAAAAAAAAAACAGAGGTTAGCAAAAAGGCGAATTAAAAGTAAAGATTCACTCTTTTGAATGAAATAAATCGCATTTGTGTTCAATTTGCGCCATGGAACTTCATAAATTTCGTTGAGATTTGATCTTCATTTATATTTGTGTAACTCCATAAAATATCAGTAAGACCGTATTGTAAAACATGATCTGAGAAGAAATTAAAAGCTGTTACAATGCTTTTCTAAATATCTTAATACGATAATTTTCGACGAACGTATTCTATCTTAAAATTTGCTTATTTTTACTTATTTTTGGTAAAACAGGTTCTTCAATTTTGTTGAGTATTGTATATAGGTACATACATAGAAGTATCTGAGAATGATTTCTCATTAAAGCGGACTAAATTGAATAAAAAAATGACCATTTTGCAATTTTTTCAATGATAAACGAGATATTAATTTCTAAAAATTGTCAAATAATATGCATATCTGTTCTGCCTATCATCGTATACGCTTATCGGTTGATGATTCAATAGTCAATTAAACGAGTTTCAATTAAATTTGCTTAAATCAATCCTTCATTGAATGATGTTCAATTGAATTCGCTCATTTCAATTTTCAATTAAATGTCTTTTAATTGACTTTGCTTGAATCAATCGTCAATTGAATTCGCCTATTTCAATTGTCAATTGAAAGACATTTAATTAACTCTACTTAAATCAGTCATCAATTGAATGATGTTCAATTAAATTCGATCATTTCAATTGTCAATTAATTGTCTTTTAATTAATTAACTCTGCTTGAATTCATCATCAATCGAAAAATTTTAATTAAATGTACTTAGAACAATCGTCAATTGAATGATCCTAGATAACAAAATGTTCCTTGGCATAAGAAAAGAAATAGGCTTAACACAAGTTTCTCTTCAATTGCCATCATGTTGCTGTCACCAGGACAATAATAATTTCGTTTAGGTCAATCTAGAGGTTATATACGAATTATGATTGTTGAGATTATATACGAATAATGATTGTTTGCGCAAACGAGCAGAAATGCTGTAACAAACTTATTCCCATAAATGTTATTACAATCTATTGGAAATCGCTTTTGTAAAATATTTAGTTCACATTTTTGTCAATCGAATGGAAATGGAGTGTCGTCGAGCAGTATGCGGTGTACATCAGAAGAATGCATCGAGTTAAATTTCTCGATTTTAAAAAACAACATAGAATGGAATAAAAGACGTAACATTAGAAGATTTTTCAATTGTGTAATATAATTTTTTGAAGTGAGCCCCAAGGGCTCTAAGATGAAAGATATGATACTTTTTTTGAAATGTTTACCAAGTAAATGAAATCTAATACTTTAATATATATTTTGTTCTGCATTGTAATTTTATTCATAGTAACTTACACCTATCAACCAAATGAGTAAAATGTCTAAAATCAACTTATAAGTCACTTTAAGATATCTTTCAGAGTTTTTTATAAAATATATTAAAGATGTTTCTTAAAGAACTCTTAAAGATATCTTAAAGTTCTCTTTTGAGTCACACATAATTTTAAACAGGAAAGCATTAGAAATTAACTCTTTTTACAATGGTTTCTTTTATAATTTTTATATTACTGTCAAATTGCTAGCAAATTTATTTTATGTAGAATTAGTTTCCATCACGTTGCCGTGCGATTATCCTAATCTATAAAACTTATAAAAAAAAAAGAGGACAAATTGTTTCTCCGTACATAATCGTTTATGGTATATATTATTGCCAATAGCAAAATCAGAAGCCGCTTTCCTCAAAAAAGATAGCAATTCAGGCGATGCAATTATATCAAATTTATAGCAACATGCGGGAAACTTACTATCTGGAATGTTCAATTGAATTCGCCCATTTCAATTTTCAATTAAACATCTTTTAATTAACTCCGCTTGAATTTGCTTAAACTAATCGTCAATTGAATGATGTTCAATTGAAATCATTCAATTATTAATTAACCTTTAATTAACTCCGCTTGAATTAATCATCAATCGAAAAGTTTTAATTAAATGTACTTAAAACAATTGCCAATTGAATGATATTTTATTGAATTCGATCGTTTCAATTGTTAATTAATATGTAATTTAATTTAAAAAATAATTAATTACTTGCAACCCTGGTAAAAATATTATATATACTTTATTAAAAAAAGATTAAAAGAAACAGACTAATGAGAGTGAAGCATTGTAAGCGTTGCGCAATTTTTATGTGTAAATTTATATTTGGACGTTTCGATTCACGTTCGAGTCATTCAGCAATAAGCCACAAAATAAGTCAATTACATAGATTAAGTTGAATCCTTGGCGAAAGAACTCTACCAGTCATCACCAGTCACGAGTTGTCATTGTACGTGATAATTCCAGTGCAAGGCACAACAAATGAGATTTCGTTATTTCACACTAATAAAGTAATTAAAAATTAAAATATAAAAAAATATAAGATCATAAGTAATCATTTAATAAAAAGGAGACAAGTCTGATAAAAGTAATTCACCCCAAGGATCCAGACACGAGAAATTTTCATACTCAAATGTATGAAAAATTATTTTTACTAATTTTTTGGAGAATAACGTAAAAATGATAAGCGAAAATGGTTAGAAGATCGGCCTCTCAAGATCTTCTGACAATTTTTACTTATAATTTTCACTGCATTTTATTTTCCAAAGAATTGGTAATTTTTCATGCATCTGAGGATGGATCTCAATCTCGTAGCCGAAATATGTTATACAAATTTTGTAATGGGAAAATTTTAATTTGAATATTTGTAAAATGCAAAATAATTGTTTTTTTTCTTTAATATAACTTTTTAATTTTAATTTGATACTTATTTAACTCTTATTGCCCTGTCGATACATTAACTCTATTTTTTATTATAAAAGTCCTTCATTTTACTATATTAAATTAAAAAAGATTTTTAATTTGAATAAAATATCCTAAAAAATTTTTTTAAATCTATATAAATTACAATTATGTGCGACTTTGAAGAAAAAAATTATGATTTTCACTAAATAACAGCCGTTTATGCAAAAAAATTGTTAATGTTAATTTTTATTTAATTTATTTACATAGGATGGTTGACTATTAAAGTTAAAGAATGAACTCTAAAAGAAGTCGATCGGACAAATACTTTTTCCTCAAACGTGTACACAAATTAAAGAAAATGCAAAAAATGATTTCGAGAAAAAAGCGTTTAAAGCTTTCAATGTTTATACTCTGTATATGTAGCATGTATACATGTGCTGAATTTATAAAGAAGGACTTCGAATTTCGCTCTAAAATTTTAGGGACATATTCTTGAAGAGTTGTATCGACTTATGAAAAAAAATCGAATTTTTTAACTCTCTAATGTAGGAGACCTTCGATTTGCAAAGCAATCGAACAGTGATTTTGTAACAAGATCGTTAAGAGTGAATTTATATAATTATAAAGATAAAGATTGATCCGAAATAATAGAATTATATAAATAGTCATGTAAATTATTAAGTATTGA